TTCGTATATCAGCGAGTTTGTACACATGAATTATAGCTGGGATTTGCATCTAAAAACTAATCGATCCCTATGGCTGCATTCTCTACGTGTAACAATTTACTGGTCGGGATGGATTTAAATTTACTTTGAAAAGACAGTATCGACCATATATGGGCCAATCAGTTGCTCTATTCGCCGTAATGACTGTTTTATTATAAAATTTACATGACCCTATACTCTTGAAATTGTCATTTCCAGATCAGATACATGAAAATCATCGACAGAAAACTTTTTATTCGGAATTTCTCAGCCCTACCTATTTGACAAGGTTCCATTAGTATCTATCTAAATATGTGTTCAAATAAATCGGATTCCAATTTCAGGTCTCCACGGCGATTTTTCAAGTTGATCGGTACTAGTTCGTCAATTCGGTTTGTTTCTAATTAGTGTGACGTTCTATATTTATGCTTCTTGGATTTGTGTGGTGGCAAGTTTTCATTATTTGCTAGGTTGACTAAATTTCGCAGAAATGAGATATGATCCTGAGGATATTCATCCTATGATCATGAGAGCCTTGGCAGATGTAATTGCTGAATCATTGACAATACTCTCAGAAGGGTTTTGTGGATATTATAGTAATTTCCACGGTTTAGATCATGAGCCAATTGAAGCTAGACCATCATAGAAAATCTGGAAGCGCTGGACGGCCGTTTCGTTCTACTGTGGGACTCCAGCAGTGCTCATCCACGACCTCGCCTCGCGCGCGACATATCACTAAAACTGTGCAAATTCTCAAGAGACTGGAAGGATGCAATCGTCAGTCCAGTTTATTAAGTGGGGAATAGAGAACTACCCAATCTCTCAATTTTGGGGAAGCCACTATAAAATTTTTTGGGAAAATTCCCCAAAATTTCATCCAAACCTTGCTGAAGGTCATTTGACTTTGGGTTTTTTCCTCAAAATTTCCCCGAATTTGGGAGATTGGGTAGTTATTATTATTTATTTTTATTAGCTTAACACATAGATATTGGTACAAGGAGGCACTAAATACATATGCGCCACATAAATCTCATTTGATATGTGTGAGGGCTGTGGTACTGCCTGGGTGCTCAAACCGAAGCAGGTAGTCTATCTTCGGGGGCCACACCCGGAGCCTTCGACCTGAAGGTCTGACCCACAGGCAGTGGAGCAACGTAAGGAGATGCAGTCCCATGGTAGCCGGTGACCAACGATTGGTTCATACGCCACTTGTTACTTCAGGATACTGGAGTCCATGTCCACCATTGGTTTGGAATCAGGGTTTTTCAACTCTACTAGGTGGACTCTCCATGTCCACCAACCCGGTTAAAGCGCCGAACATTCGCTTTTCGTCCTCTCAATCTCATAAACAACACCCCAGCCACGAGAAGGCAGTGATTAGGACTTCCTGGCAGAGGCTATATAAGCGTGGCCATGTGAGATCATTTCGAGAGGGAGAGCGGACTCTCTCCACTCTCGGCTGTGCCAAGACATTTGGGGGCTAAAATACTCCATGCAAAGACGGAGTTGGAAAAATGAGATAAGACTCATTGTATTTTTCGAATAATTATTCTAAACTATGTGTTTTAAGTATGAAGGTGGTATACCAGGATGACTTCAACGGCGAAGGACCAAGATAACAAGAAGTCTACCTTATGAAGACACTGTTACGCTTTGATCTACTCCGGTCATTTTACCACAGCTTACGGGGTGATCTAATACTGGCTCATCGTGCACTGAACAATGGTCCTGGTATTAATATGTTTTAACCTTCCCTTTCATCTAGCACTGACCATCCGAGACAGATCAGATTCAGATTTGTGCAGTAATGACAGAAGGCCTACGGCCTGTTGTTCCTTTTCTAGTATGCTTCTACGAGTTTCCAGTTTTCTCTTGAATGAGACAATTGAAGGTGCGGACACCACTACTTCGGGCAACAGGTTCCAAGAATTGATGACTCGGTGTCACAACGTGTATGCTACGGGTATTTTGTTCGTTCTTGGCTTTTATACTCGCCTGCTGTCTTCTGAGATGTCTCGATCCAGTGGTAAGAAAGAGAGGATATATTAGGTCCAAAATCATTTATTAGTATTCTATGCATCAAAGTTGGATCACCTCTTAATCTGCGATAGAACAGAGTAGAGAGGTCTAGCTTTCCAAGCCGCTCTTTGTATGATAAACTCCGGAGTTCTGGAATTGCACGAGTAGCTGCTCTCTGTATTTTTCCAGGATATCCGAGTCACCTTTCAAACAGGGGCTTGCAGCCTGAACGCGGTTCTCAAGCTTAGTTCTCACTAAGGTTGTGTATACTGTAGTGAACATGGTAGTATCTAGCTTGGTGAATGTCAGTCTTAAAGCCCAGAGGGTTCTAAACCCTTTAGCTGAGACCTCCCGGTAATGGTTCGTGGTCCTAAGGTCATGATTCACTGTCACCCCAAGATTCTCGTGAGACCGGACCACGGGTACAGGCACTTCCCCTATGCTGTACCTATTAAACTTTGTATAGGCATCAGCCACTCTTTAGACCACTTAGTCACATTTAAGTCTGCATGAAGTGCGCATGCATCTGCGTCTCCGGTTATTACTTGCCAGATTTTTACATCATCAGCGTATAATAACATTGGGGATTGTACTTTACATGGGAGATCATTTGCATACAGTATGAAAAGTAAAGGACCTAGGACAGAACCTTGAGATACTTCACTAAGTACTGATCTCCAGGTAGAGCACTTGGAATTTATTCTTACTTAGTGTCTACGAACTACTAGGAAATCCTTAAGCCATTTAAGAGGGGTCCGGTCATGCCAAGATTTTCTACATTCACGAGCTGTTTATTTGTTGGCACCTCATTAAACGCCTTACTGAAATCTATGTAGACAACATCCATTGAGTTTCCGTTGTCCAGCGCCTTTATCCAATGTCCCTTTGCTATAAGGAGGTTCGTTGTGCAAGACAAACCCTTTCTGAAAACATGTTGTTCGCTGTTTAACAAGTTGTTGGTTTCCACAAATGTCACTATGGTCTTTTTGACTATTCTTTTCAATATTTTAACTACAACACTGGTAAGGCTGACAAGGTCTGTGGTTCGATGGAAGTTATCTTGGTCCTGTTTTATATATGGGAGTGACGATTACATCCTTCCAGTCCATAGATAAAACACTTTTGTTAAGTGTGTTATATATCACAGTCAGTATGGCTACGATATATTGTGGAATGTGTCTTAGGATTTTGGGATGTAGTTCATCTGGTCTTGTTGACTTTCCCATGTCTAAGGTGCTAAGAGCCTTAAGTATATTGTCTCGATCAAATTCCACGGTGAGCAGATGGCTTGTTGACTTTGTATTTGGGTCTAGTTCTTCGTCTATAAGAGTGAAAGCTGCTCCAGAATAGTTAGCCATAGCCTCTGCTTTTCCTGATCTTCCTCTATCATTTCAGATCCACTCCCTTCTTTAGTTAGTTTGGGAATCCAATGGTGCATCCTTGTCCTGTAATTTATGTACGAGGACAGTCTCTTAGATTGCTTGAGTGCAGATTGGGCCAAATGGATTACCCTGAGCTTCTCGGATTTTGATTATACACCTGTGGCGTCCTATCGTACTTGCTGTGCCAAGGCTGATGGCAACATTCCAACATTTCTTCTTTTGTCTTAGTAAACGTCGAATATCCCGGCCTATCCGGGGATGACCATGCTTCTTCTTTTTTGGGACTTTCCAGGGTACCCAGTTGCATAACTACCTGGAATGAGTCCATGCCTCGTGTACTGATGCCCTTGGGTCAATTTTCCAGTTTTCAGCTGATGCTGCAGAGTTGATAGCCTCCATGTCTGTCTTCCATATGTTAGGACGGGCCGGCGCAACTGTTTGACAGGTCATCTTAGCCATGAATTTAAATAAGATGACTGCATGATCGCTTCTCCCTAGTGGTGAGAGGAAAGTCATCTGACTAACGCCATCACCGCGTGTGAAGACTAAGTTCAAGAGAGACGAAGAGCTTCGTAAGTCATATTTGGTGGGACCTCTAATATATTGGAATAAAGCTAGTGCAATTGAGGTTTCTAACAGGTTGCAATCGAATGACGTTATCGACAACCCTACTTCTAAGTTTACTCAGTTTATATATGGTGCTGTGCCAAGGCTGATGGCAACATTCCAACATTTCTTCTTTTGTCTTAGTAAACGTCGAATATCCCGGCCTATCCGGGGATGACCATGCTTCTTCTTTTTGGGACTTTCCAGGGTACCCAATTGCATAACTACCTGAAATGAATAAAGCTAGTGCAACTGAGGTTTCTAACAGGTTGCAATCGAATGACGTTATCGACAACCCTACTTCTAAGTTTACTCAGTTTATATATGGTGCATTTAAGTCGCCTACCATAAGATTTTCTACCCCTATTACACCAGGACTTAAGTTTGCTTAGGAGGAAGCCATCTACTACACATTCTGGACTACGATATACTAATTCAATATCTTGCCGTCTACATTTCAGCCTTCAACGCACCAGTTCACATAGTTGAATTCTTGAATTCTGTTTCTGGTATCGTGTAGTGAATTACTGGAACTCAAGGAGAACTGACAGTATCAGCACCTGTTGATGCATTCATAGCGAGATTGTATCTTAACATTACTGTAACTTCAAAGGGTTAACACAGGTCGACCGAACTCCTATTCTTACTACTGAGAGCTGGTTGTGCTGGTTTATAGGTCGTAATGGGTTTCCTCTTATCAGTTATTAGTTCGAGTTTCACTTTTTTACATCTTAATATAAAATGAGTGGATAAAAAATACAACTAGTAGCCCCTTATTTTTATGCTGCAGTAGCTCTTTTTTTGAGGAATTCTGGTGTTTCTAACTGTTCTATCATTTATCGAGTATTTTACTATATAGATGAATACTGACAACCGAATTTCATGCCTTTGACTTTACCATTTGTAGTTGAACGTTAACCAGACTGCATATATCATTAAAAAAAATTATTTACAGGAAATTTATACTGCATCACAATGGCATTCACACGGAGGACATCTAGTCGGGCTTGCAAAGAATTGACTATGGCTCGTATTGTTGCTTGTTTAGACTCGCCACAGGAAGCTGAAATTAACCTTAAAGATAGCAGGGTCCTTCCTTCGAGATTTGATTCCTGTCTAAGATCTCGAAGAGCAACGTGTACTGGTACCTTAAAGTCTCCAGGTAATTATTTTTTCGTTTTACTGCTTTTAGTTAAGAAAATGTCAGAGCTTTGTTTATCTTCACCCCAAAGAACCCCAAAGTCACTTTTAAATACAAGCTGTTTAATTAAAAGTAAGTCATTATATGGTTTGGTGGAATTATATATATATATATATATATATATATATATATATATATATATATATATATATGCGTACTCGTCACAGTTAGTGACAAAAAGTGCTCAATGAAGTAAAATTAAAAGAGAGACAGCAAGGTGATGAGTTTCGAATAGAAGTACAATCAGGATAGATTTAGTTCACCTTATTATTTGTGTGAAAAACATCAACAGAGTCTTTTCTAGTCTCTATTTTTATCTCTGTCTTATAAAAATTAATTCTGCTAATTTATAGTATGATCCCTTTCAGGCTGTTGAATTAGGCTGCGTCCCTTAAATTAGTGGGAATGAGCATCGAGCTCCGGTGCTTAAATCAGGCACTGACTATAGGAGACCAACCTAAGAGAACTGAGTTATGATAACTCTGACCCCTAAGTGTACGTGTACCTGATAATCTTATGAAAAGATGATGAAGTTTGTGTTTAGAAGGCACGAAATTCGTTGATTTGTGGTGCGAATTTTGTTCGCCACAAGCGGTGGGTGTATGTATGAACCAAACATTAAAAGTCCGTAAAAATCTGTTGGATTAATATGTATTCAATAAGTCAGCCAGCTACAAGGTTGAACCAGGCACATATATGCATCGATCGAAGTTGCTATACCTCATTAGCACAACAAGGTGAATACCAAATTCATAGTAGTCACTTCAATAGTAACAATATATAAAAGAAAGATTATGTATAAGGATATAGTACAGGAAGAAAGAATTAGTCCGTAGAAAGAAAGTTATACAGTAATTTTGATCTCACAGTTCAAAGGAGGACAAATAGTGTATACACCGACGCCACTGTGATCGATTCTGAGCAATATCATCCAGTCTCCAACCATTGGTTACGATAGTCACGTGGACCACAACCAAGTAGTCTGCATCTACTAACATAGCTCGGACTAGAAGTTAGTGACTTCACAGACTGGTGCCACGTTGTCCTTCGGCCGCCCCTAACTTTGTCCCAACTTCCACCAACACTATTCAGCATTGCGCGTCGTGGTAATCGGTGGTCGAGCATACGTAACACGTAGCCCAACCATCTCAGTCATTGAAGATTTACAACCTCATCAACTGATTAACCAGCTTCATCTACTTCGCTTTGGGCAGACAAGTAGTATGTTAACCCTCAAACAACTAAAGTTTGGCTCAGCGCAATCGCATCTTAAGTCTATCATGATATTAAGGAGGGCTTACTTCAATAGTGGAGCGCAAAAGGCCATACATCGGGGTGGATTAAAGTGTTTAAAGGTTTTAAATTTATTCAATATGCCCTTCCTCTATACGGCTAATCACAAAGGTAAGTTTTTCAAAACATTCTATTTACAATAGTTTAGACAAGCGATTGGGTGTAGATATTAACCCTTCATTCATGTTGAGACGATGAAGGGATTATGTGCAGTTATACGATGATCGAAGAATCACAATCGCTACCTACTTCGCATTTATATTTTCGTGTTACATAAAGTATTAACAAGAGTCCAGTCACGTATTTTGCGCCTTTCACAGCAACATCTGCGTACTTACTATTTTACGGAATGGGTGTCATTTATAGTATACATAATATTCAGTTAACCTGTTTAAGAATTAGTATGAGATTATGGAGCAATAGACTTTACATAATGTATCTTTTCATTTATGATTAATTTTTTTTGATGGAGTTTTGGTCGTGGAGCTTTCATCGTTCTTCTGAACGACATCATCAGCACAAACTTCAGATAGTTCCACGACCAAAACATCCTGTTCAGAGAACAAAATTCCATCAAAATCATCCACCTGAGCTACAAATCTGTCTGTAAGCTGGTGTAAGAATTATGATTTAGAATTTTATGATAGGGTATTATGTAAAGAAAGCTCAAAACACATACCAAAAGTTTCAACCATGATTGACTCCAAATTATCCAACAGCGCCGTCATTTATTCTATGTGAACATCCGTCGAAATTTAAATGATTAATTTATAAAAAACTGTACACAGGGTATGTGCAATACATCACCTGAAAAAACTTTTAGATCTGAGCGATTGAAATTTAGTTAATTCCAACATTTCACCTTGCGAACTGACAAAGCTCGGACCCGTTTGCCGGGCAAAGAGTTGGAATTACTTAAATTTCAATTGCCGAGACTTAAAATATGATTTTTACGTATAATGCACTGATTTAATCTGTTTAAAAAGTACTTGAGAAATATTTGATGAATTACAGATTGATTGAGTCTTTAAAATTAACGTGTCAACTCCAAGGTTAAAATGGTCATAGAAGACCTTCATTACATGTATTCACAGCAATTTTGTCCTTCGTGCTCTTTTACAAAGCTAAACTAACTTTTGTTCAACAAATTAATGACGTCCATGATATTAAGAAACAATGGATTAGGTTTTATTTAATACTAGTTAAGTGAGAAAGTGGAACTTACTACAATTCTTATTATTAATTAACATGATTGCCATTTATTTCAGTCTAGACAGCACGCAGATTTATGCTTGACGACCATAAACACTTAAATAGTTTGGTTTCCTAATCATATTTTATGGTAATAATAGTAATAACAGTAGTAACTATAATAATTTTCGGAATTTTCATCTTACTAACTAAACAACAAGCAATACTTGATTATACTTCCGTTTGCTGAAGTTTTCTCTAATTATTTATATATTTAAATAATTTTAAATGTGTAACTTATTAAATACACTGAACTAAAGGTAATTTGAAATTTTACAAATATTACAATTGCAAGGTTCCTAGAATACTAGTAAAATTCATCTGTTTATGGCTTATAATAGATCTCTCCTCTCTTATAAACCTTCAGCTCGTATTCTCAACGGGATTTATTTATATGTGTCGCTGATATAATTTGAAACGTTCATAACTGCTTACAAATATATCACCTACTAGTCTATTGAAAGATGATTTGTAATTATTCGATTTAATTCCTGTCATCATCTGACATAGAATAATTCTCCTTACTATTTTTATGTAGTGTCACGTAGTTTCTCATATCAGTTATTTTGATTTAATTTGTCCGTGTATTCGCTTTTTTGTAGAACACTGGTTTATAGTGTGATACATAGATAAATCAGTTAACCATATCCAGTTTATTTAAATAAGCCAGAGGTTTCCGTATAAATCGGTTGAATACATAATTTGTAAGTACTTAATCTGTCATTACTACGTCTACAGGTAGTCGATTATTATTATTATTATTATTATCATTAGGATACCTGACCTTTAGACTACTGAACTGGCATCCAATGTCTAACTTAAGTCAATTTATTATAAAAGAAGTAGATGTGAGCTTGTTTTATGTATTATCGTCCTTTCACTAAAAATAATTGATAGTAATTTAGTTCAGGTATCTTTGCATTTCCTGTCACTTATATTCGTACTCCATTCCCAATAAAACCATTTAGAAATTTTTCAGCTATTTTTTATTCTCACTTTTATTAATATGCACCCCTTTGGTGCGCGCTCTTGATTTACGATACTTTGTTAGATAATATACTAGTGGAATCATCTTGCTGTGATACTGAATAGCTTTCTTTTCGACTGAATTTTGTGAATATCCTCAGTTTTTAATCACACCCCTCTGCAACGCGTTCTTTTTGGAGGATACTAGCAAAATAGAAATCTCAGGGATGATAACTAGTTGCGGTTCGTTTCGTAAAAATGGCGGTAAAATATAAGCATACTGAATTTAAATAATTGTTATGCATATTCTCATCGGATTTTGCATGTTTCCTGATCCTGGATAGATGTAATACTCACTACTTGTTAAATCTCATTTTCCAGAAGAGGAAGCATCTTAAATACGAACTCTCAATGGTAGGTTATAAAAAATTGTTTATAGAAAATGTTTTTGTGGTATTACGATTTAATATTTATTGGTCTGGTTGTCTATATCTATATCGTATTTTATTGAACATTATCTATGAATTTAGCTGATCTTTTATATATCGAAACTACAAGCTATTTATTTATTTATTTGAACATATAAATATTGGTACAAGAGGGCACCAAATATATATGCGCTACACAAAACAATGAGAATTCGAAGAGAAATAAAAGAACAATAACGAACGGATTAGTATAAGGTAGTGTCATAATAATAATAATAGTAATCATGGGGGAAACGGAAAAGTACAATCAGAAGAAATCTTTCAGTTAAGGAAGATACAACCACTGTTTGTTTTTTATGAAGAAAGTAAAAGAAGTAGGTATCATTGCCAAGGTTTGATTTGATAATTTCGAATAAATTGAGCATTGGGTTGAATGTTATAAGTAAAAATAATATATTTATAATATTCCAATGAGTAGAAAATTAGATTTTCTGACGTTTCGTGACTTAGTGTAAGTCACTTCTTCAGAGAATAAATAACCAAATTAAAATTAATCCAGGTTTAAATAGTACAACGGAACAATGCATTCTCTGGGACGACATTCGTAGAACATGTCCAAGCCACCGAAGTCGGTGTTTCAAGATGGTGACACCGTTTGCACTATCATCTCTGTGCCCGAACACACGATGCCGGACCTCTGCATTACTAACATAATGTTGCCACTGGATGTCAGCAGTCCTTCGGAAACAGCGATGATCGAACAAGAGAGTCGTCTAACATCCTCAACTCGAATGAGGCCAGGTTTCACAAGCATAGAGCAAAACTGCTCTCACCGACGCGTTGTAGATCCGACCTTTTACAGACAGACTGACATCACGAAGGCGCCAAAGATGGCCCAGATTGGCATAAGCCGCTCTGGCTTTCCCTATATGTGCAATGATCTCATCACTCACGCTACCACCAGCACTTATGCAGCTCAGAACGTTTCAATATAGTGAAAATTCCCATTTTGTCCTTCTTTATTTACCAAATGGCAAAATGGGAATTTTCACTTATGCAGCTACCTAGATACACGAACTTCTTGACTACTTCTATCTGCTCACCATCCAGGGTGAGCACTTAATCAGTTGGCAATCAGTGTCCGTAGGTATGGTATGTACTTTGCACCTTCGAAGTGCAAAATACTTCTACAAGACTGGCAGGATCCTAATCCTGTACTACAAGCTAGGTACTTGTTGTTCGTGTTTCCGTGTTTTACTTTCTATCACAACTTGTGGAATTTGATTAGTTTAATTCAAACCGTATTTCGCTACTGTCTGGGATGTATGAAATTAATTTTAGATTTTCACCTTATTATTACGAACTCATATTTTCGTAACGTATAGCTGTCAATAGATTTGTGTAACCTGTTTGTGGGCGTTTTGGGGAGCATAAATAAAAATATATATAAAAATATAAATAAAATATATATATAAAAATATAATTTACAATATGGAATATTTCAAATAAAATATGTAAGTTTGTTAGTAATAATGGTAGTCTAGCCAGTCACACCGAACTTCTGGAATGAAGACGAACAGTGTGAATTCAACTCAGTTTGTTGTTCGGAGTTATGGAGAAAGTGAACAAGGTCTCGGTTTCATTGGATATCGATACTGAACCTAGTCGTACGACTGTTACTAATTTTAAATCCCTTTGCCTCACCATTTATATATATGAGATAGCATTTTCGCATATGTTTGCTATGAAACATAATACAAATATGAGTGGTACTCAGTCAGCTATCATCATTTATCATTTATAATTAAGTCGTGAATTGAACAGACAGACATAACCTAGTATGCGCATTTTATTCGGTGAAAAATTTACAAACCAAGAAGCAAAGATAGATGATACCTAATTTTTCTATAGACCTTTAATTATGCTATTATGTTAGTAAAATCCGAAGAGATAAACTATAGTAAGTGTAAAGTTCCATCGAACTTCAAATTTCAGCCGTATACGTTATTTCAAATCTACTGTACATTGCTTACATCATACTTTTATTAATACAACCATCGTATACGTTGACATAGTTTCCTATAATCATCACAACAAGTGGCACTCTGCGCGTTCGAATTCAAGTTAAATGTCCCGGATACTTCAGAGAATTTCTCGTACGTGCACATTATACTATTCTAAGGGTGAGCACACGAAACGTCAACAAAGAACCAGTCTTTTGTGAACTATTTGAACCTGATGTCATATCGCATATATCAAGGTGTGTATATATTTTGAACATTGGGATATCGTGACTTGTTCCGATTTCGGAGACTAAAACATGTAACGGCAGATTTGACTAACAAACTGATAACTTGTGCATGCATACATATTACTGATGTATGGGGAAGCCTAACACATTTAATTCAACGAAGAGTTAGCGACCTATAAAATTGATGTCAACGTATCGTTCATGATATTTAATCACATTTCCAGGTTGGTAATTCTCACCTATGTTATTTTATTATAAGAGAAACCCATTCTTCTGTCTAGTGATCATGCCTCTTATACGAGTTCATTGGAGAGTTTGAGCCAATTGTCCGGTCTCGGTAGTTTTCATTTTAGCACATTGCATAATTGAATATCATCCATCTATCAAAATTATTTTCTTTCATTTCAAAAGTTGAATATTTGCCCATCAATTCATAAAACCTATTTCATACCAATTATATTATTTAGTACTGGTGTTATACTCATTTGTTTTAATCAAAAAGACATGTTTTATTAATCATAATCAGTCCGATAGATAGCGAAGATTCATATGATGAAAGTTCTATCTCGACCAGTGAATCAAGTTTTTCGACATGTAATTCATCAGATTCTTCCGACTTTACTGAACAACAATTTCAGCACAGAAACAGGTTGAAAGGTCCTATAATAAAGTCATTCCCTGTAAGAAGAACAAAGCTCAATGTGTGTGTAAGTTAAACTGCAACTTTCTTAATTTTTGAAATAATTCTGTATATCTCTCAGCATCATATTCAGAAGATTTATCTTGACATTCAACTGATTAACCAGCAGGCTTTGAGCTAACACCTACCTAATTGGATTATGTTTGAATGGTTAACCTTATATGTTCAGTCAGTTATCATCAACACACAGCCTAACCAAGATGTACGCTGATCTAAGTCATCATACTACACTAGCACGATGGAATGAAAATAACAAGCGAAATCGAATTTGAAACGATATATTAGCAATGATAATTAGTACGACTGAACATTTGGAAGATAGTTCGAAAAAATGGAGCGGAAATGTATGTAAGAAGGAAAACCGGAGTTAAAGATCACGATAAGTATAGAGAGTTACTGCCCATACGCTATTGTGAATAATTCTGAGTCTTAGGCGGAGTTTTGTTCTCTGAGTTGGTTGGTTCGACCATGTGGCTTTCATTGTTCTTCTAAACAACATCATGAGCACAAAATTCAGGTAGAAATCTACCTTAATCATCCACTTGAGCTACAAATCTTCTTGACCATCTTATAATTCTGAGCCATTTCACGCAGTTTCTAAACGCTGATAGCGGTTATCGTACTGCTTTCAACCAGTAATTCTACATCTACCAACATTACTCAGAACATCAGTCAATGACTTTCCGTTATATGAAAAATATAATAATAATCTTTAAACCATTGAACTCATGCTTAATGCTGAGTTCGTGGACGAAATCTCAAAACATTAATAGTATGGATCTCATCTTCACTCGTCAAAATAAACTGGATTTGATTAGACTTAGTTGCGGAACAAAGTGGCTTCAGTTACCGCTTTTTTGCAACCTTTTCTTTGTTTATTCAAAAGTACTAAATTAATAGATCCCTATATATTTCAAAATGGTTCTACTGATCATTACATTAATTTATGTTTTCAATATTTCAAGTAGACAATTTTTCCTGTAAAATGATCAAGTTTAAAGAGCACTTCTTTGAAATCATCCATAAGGTTAATCATAAATATTTATTAATCGAGTACGTTTAATGTATTAAAGATTGTTCGCCATTGCATACTCAATAAATGGCCTTCATCTAGATTACACGGAGAACTACAATACTTTCGTCGACGAGAGTCATTAACAGTTGTCGATTCATGTATAATGTTTGGCCATCGTATCGTTATCCCCAGAAATCTTCGACACCATAGACTTAACACGATAATTATTGGTATATTTTTCCGACTATCCTAACACCTCCCCTTTTTTGAAAGATCCGGAGTTAATATCTGGACTTTAAAATTTTCTGCGTCCGTCCTCCCCCGCGAAACAACGTTGGGTCCTCATATACCCAAGCAACAATCAGTCTGATTCTATTTAAAGCATATTTCGCGCATTGAGTAGAGGGTTCACTAAAACTGACTAGATGATAAGGATTAACGACACCAGACATGAGGTCATTAAGGTTTGATTTTTGTGCAACATATCCTTCAGACCTCTTCAAAATGCGATCACTGGATAATAGGTCACTAAAACAAACAGCATCTTTGAAATTCATATCAGATTTCTGACCATCATTTGATGCACGGGAAACATTTTCTGGCACGAGAGGTTCTTCTTGTAAGCTGGATACCTCACATGTTTCAGGCACAGTGGGATTTGAACCCACAACAGGGCATACTTCTGAATTGGACAATTCTGGATCTCTGGATGGATCATGAGCGACTGCCTCGTTTGCATTACTGATCATAAGGGATTCATAGAGGCTTTTGTTTTCATCTTCATATGTCCTGCAGTCATTCTCGAGTTCAGTATGCAGGTGAGAAATTAATTCGTCAACCTCCTTCACATCTCCGAAACACGGGAGATTTAGCAGTCGCGTGCGCATATAGTCCAAAACATTCAACTGGCTCTCTCTGTAACGATCTAGTAGTATCTGCAATTGATCGGAGGGGATAGTCATTTTCTGAATTAGCAGAGTAATGAGAAATACTGTAATCAACTAACAACCAATGACTCCCAAGGACGCCGACGACAAATCTGGATACTGATTGGCCAGAACAATTACACTGAATCTCGCCCATTTACAGGGTTCAAAATTCTCTCTACCCCGTCGCCAATTGTTGTAACGTGTGGGACTGCAGGTTTTGATAAGCAGCGTATCTATCGATCGATCGATAACAGTGACACGGAAAACACGTATGAACGACCTAGTGCCCTGATTGGTCCCGCTTCGCAGTCTGTCCCAGCCAGTTGAGTCAAGAATGCAAGTCACAGCCTCTGGGTTATGAATCATTATATTCCAAACATACTTTGTTTATATACCAATCAAGCATACCACATCGTACCATAAAATAGGAAACAACATTTACAAAATATTTAACAAGTGAAATAAACATCGACCAATAAGAAATGTACATTTAAGGTCCAAGGACACCATAGACTTAACACGATAATTATTGGTATATTTTTCCGACTATCCTAACATATAATTACGTTGATTACACGCGTATTTGTGTGTGTTCATTAAGTATCCAGTATTCGTATCATGATAACAGGATACCTCTGAATGATACATATTGTCTTTATTATAGGCCAATAAAGGCTCTGTATCGGCTCATAGGAAGCGCACTCTTAGTCAGGTGTCCCGTGGTGAGTCTTTTCTTAATTTAAGGTAAGTCAAACTTTTGAATTATCAAGTATAGCTCATAGTTTTTCCGTTGAGTTGATTATCCACACCGAATTTGTTAACTTGTTAATTCTAAGATTACTTGACTATAAGTTTGTTACTGTTAACTAATAATATTATTAATAATACACTAATAATAATATTCTTGCAAACTAAGCAGTAAAGCAAGTTATTTATGTAACTACTTATGATCATAGTTTTTACAATAATGCATTTTCTAGTCAAAGGCATATTCAATCAATATTTTATTTTTTATATAGTTCTACGAATTCGGAATATGGATGGTTACCTGGTCGTGAACAAGAATTTGAAAATATTTATACATTCATACTCAATAAACTATCTCAAAATTCTGGCGGGTATATTTTTTATAGTTTTTTATTTTATGTGTAATACTATTTATTTTCACTATTGTACCTTTCGGATAAAAATTTTCTTAGAAAATGAATTAAATAAACGTAGAAAGCGGTTTAGTTCACTGATATAGACGTTTAAGTTCTTAACGATATCTGGTCATGACCTCAAACTCATTACGTTTCTATAAATAAGCGGAGAATATCCATATTCTGCTACTAATACTTCTAAACAAATTAATATAACTTCTGTTTAATGTATTTTTATTTTTAACAGTAGTATAAACATAATAAATCTAATTTTACTTTTCACAACTTTGCAATTAACACAGGCTAATACATCCCGACTTCTATGTGTGCTACCGCTATATCTGTTTATCTGTGAATGTAATATTATTTGTATTATTCCCATACGTGAAGTAGGAGCGTTCTTTGTTAATAATTCTTTTCGAACTTTGTTGACATGTATATCATCTTTCTTTTTAATATAATTTCGTTAAAGCTGTATGTATATATCTGGTATTCCGGGTACTGGTAAAACAGCATCAGTTCAAGCGGTACTGTCTACGATGCATAAATTGGTTGCTGATTCAGGTTTGGAAAGCCAAATACCCACATTCCAAGTAATCTATGTTAATGGCATGCGTGTCAGTGACCCTAAGCAGGTTTACGTGGAGATATATGAAGTAAGGTACATTGTGTTCTAAACATTAATATGGAAATATTTTCTTTAACATAGTAACTTTTCCACCCATCGGAACTTATTAAATTAGTCCATATGTCAATTAATTTACCTTAGTTGCTGAAGTTCGAAATTTTTGTGACATACTACGATCAAAATGTATAAACTGCCCGTACGTCGGTTAATCGAGTGATTGGTTTGTTCCGTTCAATGTCCAGATATTCTTGTGATCACCAACTTTGCTATTTTAGTGTTAGTATTTTGGAGTAAGAATGACAGCTATCTACCTGATCCATTCTTGACCCTGTACACCCATACATGGAATTCAGAAATAAAAGTGAGTTTCTAAAAACGACACAGAACAATGGGATATCGCATAGGTCTAACTCAAATTGGAGTCAGTTAAGAAGTAGCTACCCCTCTTCTCCACCACGTCTTAATAATATCCTTAATAACCTGTATGCTTTTTTAGTCATTCATAGTACAATTGTGCTTCCGTATGGCTAAGTTATAGCTATAGAGGTTCACTGTCTACGACTTAGTGTTTGCATGTGAATTTGTTAGCATTGATTCGGGGCAACACAAATCATATATCATACGTTTTAATCACTGATAACGGTTACAGATCAGTGTGGAAGCAATCAGGTTATCAGCACGTAATAAAGAAAGAAAATTTTCACCAATGGTGAACAGTAGAGCCGTGAACAAGTTATCCTTGCTTACTACCCACGCCATATTGTAGTGAACGAAGACTTGGTGGGGATAACCAATTTATTGTTTCATACAGATTACAGAAAGTCTTCGTGAAATATGAAAACCATACATTAAATACTTCATTTGCACATCTTCCATCAATTATTTCTTATAAACTTCATCGTTTTTTATCCCTGTTGTTATTACAATTACTCTGTTTACATTTCTGTTTTCTTCGAATCGATCTTCTCAAACTTCTGCTGCCAGTCGTTCCACTTCTGGTTGGTGTTACATACTACTTATGTCTGTCATAAGAAGTACCATACACAACAATAATAGTTAATATCCTGAACTCTCTGACAAAGCAGAATAACTAATTTTGCACTAACATAAAGTTCAAGGGACATCTAGTGAAAAATCGGCTTTTGAAAATTGGTAGTTTCGTTTGCTTCTAACAAAACTTTACAACCTGAGATGAGGATTAATAGCAAAATCCAGAACCTTGGGGGTCGACCATCTCCTTCGGTTTTCCAGGCTAGAGAGATAGCATAAGCCAAATATATTGACTTCTTTAGGAGGACATTGCTGCTGTTACATTCCTATTTTGAACTCAAACTGTCGTCATGACGATAGCTTGTGTATTGTTTTCCATTCTTTGATCTACTCTGTCATGATGGAACCTTAAGAAAACAAAAATTACAACCAACATAGATCATCATCTGTCTGTGATAGGCAAACACAAGCATCACGTTAGGATATTAGCTGTTGTTTATATGTTTCAAACTCGTTATTAGTTTGGTATTATTTTGATTTCTTGTGAGTTATATGTTAACTAGCATAAGCATTGACCAAGATAACTTATGTTTGTAATTAGGTGTATATTTATTTTCAGTATGGGGTTGTAGAGGTTGTTGAATCCGATCAAAATCATGGACCGATCAATGTTAGAACACAATTGGAAACCTGGAAGGACTAGGCGGCCTTTTCGTTCTAGTATGGGACTCCTCAGAAGTGCGCATCCACGATCCCACACGTGGGACTCGAACTCAGGACCTTCGGTCTCGCGCGAACGCCTAATATACAGACCATTGAGTTGTCCTCCAGCGGTGTTAATGTTTAGCATCAACCAATTCACGGTATTGCGCGACTACCTATTGTCTTCGATGGGTAGTTGTCTTACACCCAACACAGTTGAACTCCACTAAAAGTTAGGCATTCGCTGGAGATTGAAGGTTCTGGGTTAGTCACACGGGCATTTTTGTTGGAAAATTAAGAGAAAATAAGTAACATAAGCAGTGATCTAATTTTATTGTAGAAGCAGTAGCTTAATAGTTAAGGCGTTCAACTTTCAACCATTAGGTCTCAAATTTGAAACTTGCTGCTCCTACCTCATTTTATGTAACTAGGTAGTAAATATCATGGTGCACACCCAAGTACCTGATGAATAAATTAATTATACTTATGTAATATTTGACTTTTTCGTCGAGATGGTAAGCGAGAGCAAACCGTCGTTAAGTGGTATTATTTAGTTACTGTACAGTCGTTCGAATTCGTTTACTGTAATGCAACGAATGAAGATTCGGTTTAGTATAAACCAATTTACTGTATTATGCAAAATCACACACTGTATTTGTAAAATATGAGGACAATACATTAAATACACTATTTATCCATCTTCATTGAATTGTCCCATACAAACTCCATCGTTCTTTTGTTCCTGTTTCATTTCGATCGCTTTCTGTTTTCTTTTGTCTTCTCTCCATTTTCCCCTTTTGTTCGTAGGAAATCTGCTTTCGATTCCTGATATACACTACTTATATCTGTCAGTACAAGTAGTATACACCACAATATGATGATGATACAAAACGTAAAGATTCATTTTAATAAGACTGTTAATAGAAAAAAAAGGATAAGTCAGTTACATCTCAACATACTCATGTACAGTTGTGCGACTTCCATTTTATCTGGAATAGAATTGCTTGCTATCATTGTTCTGTATATCACCAGCACATCTGACCCTAGTACACTTTGATTTCTCTGTATATTTTTTAGCAACTAACTGGTTTAACTGCAACTGCAAAATGTGCTTCTGACTTGTTAGAAAAAGAATTTTTTCATAATGTAATTAAAAAAGTATCTCATAGTAAAGTTTCTGAAAAGCCAGTTGTTTTGGTCATTGATGAATTGGATTTGTTATGTACTCGTCGACAAGACATACTCTACAGTCTTTTTGATTGGCCTACACGCCATAACAACCATCGTGTTTTAATAGTATTGGCTATTGCCAATACCATGGATTTACCGGAACGTTTACTTCATCCACGAGTAGCCAGTCGTTTAGGCTTAACTAGACTTACTTTCGCACCTTATTCTCACGAACAACTTGCTCAAATTGTGCGACATCACTTATCGTCTTTATCAAATATGTTTCAGGTAAGTGTTTTTTACTTGATAACTTTATTTTTAGAGCTCCCTTATATTTTCCTACACACAGTTATGCTTAACTCAGTTTTTCGGAAATGCACCATATCCTTTCCAGTGTAAAGGTTGTCAGAAATGATTAATTTCGGTGGAGTTTTGTTCTCTGAGCTGGATGGTTTGGTCATACTAATGACACGACCAAACCATCCAGCTCAGAGAACAAAACTCCACCAAAATCATCCACCCGAGCTACAAATCTTCTCCACCATGATTCATTTCAAATATCTGTTTCACTATTGTTACTCGAATTTATAAATTTAAATAGTTAATTAGATGGATTAATTTCATTAACTTAGTTTTACTTTTTATTCATTTACCTTCATTGATCACCACTACCGCCTCATTCATCATGTTGACATCAACCATAGAAATTATTTATTTTAGTTATAACATTTTTCATTATTTGTTAGACGAATATCTTGTGGTCATTTGTATTTGTTTATTTTATTTATATAAACACATAAACATTGGTACAAGGAGGCACCAAATATGCATGCGCCACACAAATCGTTCGATTTATATGATAGCTGGAATACTACTCGGATGCCAAAACGAAGCAAGTGGTTTTATTAGGGGGTCACTCCGGAGCCTTTGTTTTAGAGGTCTATTCCACAAGACAGTGGAGCAACGTTAGGAGATGCAGTTCCATGGTAGCCGATGACCAACAGTAGGTTCATACGCTATTTGTTCCTTCAGGATGCTGGAGCCCATGTGCACCATTGCTTTGGAATCGGGGTTTTCCAACTCCTCTAGGTGGATCCTCCATATCTACCAATTCGGTTAACGGGTCGGACATTCGCTTTTCTTCCTCTCAATTTCGTAAACAACACTCCCACCACGAGTATGCAGTGAGTAAGACTTCCCTGACAGTGGTTGTATACGCATGGTCTTATGAGAGTATTCGGAGAGCGGACTCTCTTCACCCTCGGTCATACCAGGGGCTGTAGTCATCTTAAAGTGATGTGACAATGTGTATCTACACGTGCTGTGCGTTAAGTAGTGTGCCTGTATTTGCAAACCCTCTACTTAAATTCTTATACTTTTGCTGAAAAGTCTTAGACCTGTTTCATGCACTTAAGGAAACTCAACGATTCTTTTGTAGTGAACATGGTATCATGTATCTTACTAACTAGTAGATTCTATTATGATATTGACAGTTTACAAGAATTTACAGGTACCCAGATTTCCGATATCCACATAACACTGCCCAAAACGTTTCATGAATGATGCGAAGTATCCGACTATAAGTTAGGGAGATATAACATGGTGATGATTTCACAATTTATGATGAATCTATTGCGTTGGTTATTGTTATATCAGTTTTATATTATTGAGATATGTCAGAAAGATGTTTTTAATCCTGTTTGTCATGCTTCCTATGGATAATTTCACAGACTATGTGAAGTACAATAGACTAGACAAAAACACTTACAAGAAGTAGGCTACGTACTTAAGATTTGCTAAGTATATGTCTAGTAACATCTTTTGTAGCTATACGCGGCAGGACTATGATTTGTGGATGAGCCAGTCGATAGCGAGTAAGCGATTTCAAGCTCGCAGGGTCTATTTCAGTGCCCAATACATACGTACGATCGGTCTACAGAAGATTTCAAGGGCGTTATCATTGACAGGCTACAATAGATGAGATTACTGATAAGCCTTTTTACTTGTGATTGAGCTATTCAAATGACTACTGGACATTGTGCAGACTATTGCGACGATACTGTATTTCGAGGTAATATGTATTGAAGGAAGAAGTCTTCTAGAGCGGGAACTTTCTTCACTCGACCCCGATTGACACTAATGGTAATTGTTGTAAACTGGATAATAAGAGCACTAGTAACACTGGCCGTAACCTTTGAAAATGTTAATGAAGCTTCGGCAGTTTAGTGGTTTGAGTACTTTAGAGATATATTTGCGATAAAGATGATGACCTTGAATCAGTAGTTTGGGGGAATCGGGAGAATCGTAGAGATCGATGAAACAGTAGTTAGAAATGCAAATTCATCAGAGAAAGAAGTGCTAGAGAAGACTAGGTGCGTAGTACTTCCTCAAATACACTTAGGTCATCACACAAAGGGACATTTCCAGCAGGTCAGAAACCGACAGGCTAAAACGCTAATACAAGCTATACGGGAGTATGTGCAACCGAGTAACACAATATACACGGACGACTGGAGGACATATATGTAGTTTCGTCGTTCACATGAAACATCTTGTAGACTCCACCACAGAAGTACACACCAGTAATATAGAAGCACTATGACCGAGACTAAAAGAATTCTTGTGACCTTATCACGACTTTAGAGGTAGGTTTTTGTGAAGTCACATATATGAGTTCCTGTACCATATGCATCACGATTTCAGAACTGTAGAACCTCTTTCTAGCCTGGAAAAGTTTTTAAATCATGCTAGGGTAGTGTATCTAGTCTAAATTTCCGGCTTTGTTTAGTATATTCTTACTCTATACCAACTGCTTTTTGATAGCCTGAAATTCTTAAGTCACTGAGATTCGTTCAAATGCCGTCCATAAATTAAAGTATCGCCCGTTAATTGAGTAGAATTACTTTAATAACTTCGATTTTGCACTTTGAGCTCCATTATATAGCTCGGTTTATTATTTAGACGTTCCGCATTTTTTTAACCACTTAATTTACTCCACTAGTTGTATCTGGGACACAATTCTCATTGACTCACGCATTCTGTATCGTTTTCTCACACCTGAACTAAAAAGCTGACTTTCATTCTCTGAATGGTTTTTCTCGCCCTCCTGAATTTCAGGGTAATCTCGAAAAGTATTCGTTATGCTTCGTCAACTCAATCTAGTTGACTATCATTTTTTAGACTGAATCAGACTTAGACAAAGACCTTATTCATCTGTTGGGGGACATGAATTTACTAATCTCATTCTCCTGCATTTCTTTTCGCTTTCATACACATTTAGATCTTTATAATTCCTTTCTAAATCATTTTTTCTTTACAGCCTAAAGCACTTGAATTGGCTGCACGTAAGGTAGCTGCTGTTTCTGGTGATGTGCGACGTGCTCTTGATATCTGCAAAAGAGCTGCTGAAATTGTTTCATGTATTGGGAAAGGTAACAAAGAAATAGATATTTCGCATATCAATGCCGCCTTAAAAGAGATGTTCACTACACCGAAATCAGAAGCTATATGTGCTTGTTCATTATATGAGAAGTTGTTTCTTCGTGCTGTTATAGCTGAATTTCAGGCGCATTCAACAGAAGAAGCTCGATTAGACCGGTGTATTCGTCAAATGTTTGCACTTTGTCGACTTGAAGGTTAGTGAATTTCTTATAACCACTTCTGATATCGCCAACAAAAGTCAACACATTTACATTATACGAGTAGTTACAGCCCACTCTTACGCTAATTTTATTCACCGATTTTGTAACATTTATTTTTCCTCATTTGTCCATCAATTATAATTAGAGTTTGCATTCGTCAGTGAGTTCTTTCTGTGAATATTCCCATCGAAATCCCTCACCTTTCCATTAGGATCCTAGTTCTAGTATAGGAGATATATGTGAAATAATCACTATTTGTATTAGGATACAATTAGGTGCACCATTGATGTTAGTTTAACCCTCCCGTATCATATAATTTATATGGCAACTTTCAGACTCTTTGGTGGTAGAAAATTAACTACTGGCCTTTTTTTGGTCATCAGTGACAAATACAAGTTTATGCTGAGTAATATTGTCACAATAAGTTAATTGTTCACCAAGGGCATTATTAAGTCAAGGACTTTCATTTATATCAAGCTTTTTGGTTCTTTTCAGGTGTTCCATGTCCAACTACATCAGAAGTATTTGCTATTTGTGCTAGTCTTGGAGCTCATAAGCTATTGTTAACTGAAAGATCGCGATGCGATATTTCAATGCTTGTCCGTCTCAATTGTACAAAGTCGGATATATTATACTGTTTAAATCAACAACCTGACTTATAAATCTAAAATATACTGGACGAATTACTCTAAACTTAGAAAGAGATGTTTTACTGGACGATTATCCAACCAATCATCTGTATGTCCGAGATTATATTTGTATTTTTCATTTCAAAAACGACATACTGATGTTCATGCATTTCAGTAAATTTGTCGGTATTATATTTAATTGATTCTAGTCTATGTTTACAACTTTACCATGGATAAAAACTAAGAATTTTTATTTGTTTTTTATGAATCAATGCAGTTAATAAACTAGATTAAAACTAGTTTAGCATATTTCTATTATATCTATTAAATAAGCGTTAATTAACTCTCCCATTTCTCGATAACCCCACATATTTCTAAATTCTTTTCTTAAATCTGCTCAAATCACTTTTTACTGACAAATTTTTTAGTTGCAATATGTTATTGTTTTAGGCCAGCTTTAACCGAACGAAAGTAACTATAAATTTAAATTCATCTTCCTAATGAATAGATGATCGTTTTCATGTTTCTTCTTAAAAATGTTTGCTTTGAGTCATTCTACAACAGTTTCATAGCTAAGTTGTCATCTAAAGAACGCTATCTCATTTAAATCTGACATAACAAACGTTAATTGAAAAATGTGAAAATAAAATTCACTTCTATGTAATTGAGATCCATTTTCGATGTGATACGATAATTCGCGCATTGAAAAAGGTACTACGTTGTTACTGCGTTTTTCACTAACCCGTCACCATTATAATTCCACTAGATTTATATTTAGACTAAACGCTACGGTTGCAGATATTGCATTTATTAGTGAGAAGCCGTGATCAGTGAAGTTCAACGGGGTCTGTTGTGAGATAGTAAGTCACTGAAGACAATGGTGGGCGGTGGCGCAATTTCGTAGATTGGTTAAAGTTAAACATTAACACCGCTAGATGGCGGCTCAGTGATCTAAAGGTTAGGCGTTCGCTTGCGAGACTGATAGGTCCTGGGTTCGAATCTCACGGGGCCGGGTCGTGGATGTGCACTGCTGAGGAGTCCCATACTAGGATGAGACACTCGTAAAGTGCTTCCAGGTTTTCTATGGCGGTGTAGCTTCAATTAACTCATGAATTCAGTTATTAAAGCTAATTATATCATGTATGAGTAAGCCTAGTGGCTCTCACCGATAATCAGATATAACTGCGGGAAGCGTACGTCCCACCACGGCTTCATCACGCACATAGAATAACCACATTGCTGATACGTTAGATCAGTCAAACTTAGATCAAAAGATAACCACACACTATTGACCAGAATTCGACACCATTGCTTAAGGGAGGACACGCAAGTGGTTGAAGATATGGGTCTCTTTTCTAAGGGACAAAACTGTGTGAACGGATGATTGTACATATATTTATAGGTTCGGTTTAACCAGCAAACCTTCATAACATGGACTAAGTCTTGAATAGATTAATAAAATATAAGGTTAGGATCATATTCTTCGTATAAAGTGCCTTCACTAAGACAGATTATTTGACCCAAAAAGTACAAAAAATAATATTGATAGTTTCACATGTTTGGGATTTAGGAACTATTAAAGAAGCCTTGGAATAAGTTGTGATACAGAGTAGTTGCAGCATTACTTTCAAGAAATATTTGATATTACTAGGAATAGCAGGATCGCCAAATTACACGGTGTCGCTATAATCAAAAGGTATAAACTTCAACTAATCTCTCAAGTATTGGCATAATTGTAAGGACATGCTTCACACTTACCAGTGAAAAGAAATGTCAAACGATCGTCATATTAGTTCATAACCAACTTTTAAACAAAGAAAATAGTATTCTTATATATTTCATGCACTGTTTGTAAGCCATGGATAGTTCCGCCTACGCTACTTATCGCTTGTCAATAAATTACTCATTCAGTATTCTCTGACTGCTAGTGGGTCATTGAAAAAGACTTAAATATATTGTGCTAGTAAGAACTACAACTACTTGCATCAAGAACTTTGTGGTATTTTATTGTTTAGAAATTTAGAGATGCTAGAAAAACAACGAGATACACTAATTTGTTGTAGTTCATTCAAATATGAGAAGTGATTTTCGTAAACTTAAAAATATGTCGGCTATGAATCGTATCTTCGATGCCTAATTTTTTCTATTATGACATACTGTTACTACCTCTATTGCTCTGGAATTTGCCCTGGCAATTTCATCTCGCTGTGCTAATGTGGTGTGGCAACTTGAACCAATGTACACACGTACCTGGTTCTATGTTTCGTGTAACTAAATGACTGGAATCAACTTTGCACAATTAACACCCGTTAGTCGTATGGGATTGGAAGACTATTTACCAGACAGCACAAATAATTCATCCCTTCATAAATCTAATGAATCCTTATCTAAATGATAAAATATATCTCCTTGCCTAATGAATTAAATTAGATTTCGCTTTTTACATTTGCCTAAACCACTATTCTCTTTACAAAATGTAAACTTAACATCTTTAAGTCATATTTGTCAATCAAATATGCATCTTATACAAAAAATACTCCTAATTAAGTATATATGTATATTGAAGGGATCGAGTTGATAGATATTGATTTAGAGAACGATAAAAAAAACTTTTGTTTCTGTAGATTCATCAAATGAAAATCATGATAGAGTTTGTGTTATTATTAATAATCAATAATAGAAATAAATTGATGAGGTTGAGCAAGAATTATAGTTACTAAATACCTTCATGTATTATAATCTGAAAACTCTTTATCATTATCGATGGGTAGACGAATGAATGGTTCATTGGTTTCTTTACGATTCATCACAACTACAATTGAACACAGTAAAATCATAAATGAAACGCATATAATTGAAATAAATAAAATAAATCTCAAATCAAATATGATCCATTTCCATAAATATGACCAACTATTCAAATTCAAAAGGCGATTGGCAACATCAGGTTTCAGTATGTTTGAAATACGTTCTAGGCTGCCATTGTTTGGATTTGGTTGAATATTTAATAATGCACACATTAGTGGATAAACGTCTACAGCATGGACAGTAGGAACGCTCTCAGCAATCTTGAAAGAAGGACCACTTGCAATGAAGAATGGATACATTTCAGAGAAATCTGTTGCATAACCATGATCACCAGCTAATAGACATAGAGAAAAATAGAAAAAATGTTAGGATCAATAAAAGTAGTTTTTTGTTTACTACTCAACATTATTGATAGCGTAAAACAAATGAAAATATCCGAATTAACTTACAAACATTGGCGTAAGGATGTGAAGTGTTCTTTACAATTTTCCAACTTGGCTTAGCAATAAGTATCAATGGAGGCATACGAGAGTTGGTTATATTGAAATTCAGATAGGTAGGAACTTCATCTCTTCGATACACATCTAATTTTGGATGCGCATTTTTTAGACGTTTGTACACTTCTTCAAATTTCCCTAATTATAAGAAAATGATGAGTAAAAATATGTAACTGTTACATTTTTACTTTTATTCTTATTAAATATATGTTACTGACTGATCTCTGAATGAATACTGGTAAGTTTGTCAAGATTTGACATTAAAACAATTGATTGAACATAACTATAATCCTAAGAACATTCCTCATAAGGTACAAATTTTACAACGAGCATTACACGTAATGTAGTAAACTGAAATTTCCCATCAGTACTTATTTCTAACATGAAGTTATGTATATATGATAAGAGGAGGGTTTCGAAAAAGTTAAAACATCAGGTAACCATAATGAGTGAAAGATAATTAGTGTATTTTATAATGCATAATTGTAGTTGACGATGAATGAATGTAAAATCGGTGAGGTACGTTTTACACATTTATTTGTCACAGATTCGTAAGGAACTTAATATTTCAGTGAGACTCGAGCACGACACTGATAGTTAGACACCAGATAGCTATTAATTAGGTTGGTTTACTATAACATACAATGTTCATTAGTTATTAAATTATATTGAGTTTTATGGGGTTAGATTTGTTAAGTTGGAAAAAATCAGATGAAATCGAAGCGAGATAATCAGTTGATTACAGAAAATGCACTGCTAGTGAGGATCAAGACAAATTCCCTTGAAAGTTTGTAAATCATTCGTGTTTGAATCAGATCTAGGAATCTAGAGTGAACTCAGTGCAAACCAACAGTTCCTGAGTTTGATCCCATACGAACTGTTTACAGTGTCGTTCGATTTATAAAACGGGATGAAACAGTAGCTGAATGAGTCCTGATTTTTAATGGGTATGAGGTGATTCCGCACTGAAGAAAATCTCAGAAAGAAAAGTTTATTACAGTGCGTGAAGTTTTTTTTCCGATAATGAAGGACTGAATACTTACCAGGTGCAGGATAAAGGAATCCCATAGTTGATAATTGAGTATAATTGTACAAAGAATTATCAATATATTTGTCCAACGGAATAAGACGAGTATTTGATGTTTCAGACATACCATGATCAGCAGTTAGAATAATATCTACTTTATCAGAAAGACCACGTTTTTTGATACCGTCTAATAGATGACCGAGTGTTTCATCTAAGGTTTGAACAACTTTTGCAACATGTTTACTATTTGGACCGTATGAATGACCAGTTTCATCAGGTTCTTCAAATAAGCTAAAATTAAATTTAAATGATATCTAGGATTTTTCAACCACCATAATATATCTCTGATTCGTTGGTCATACGCATAACGGTGTTCATAGTCATTAAGTAAAGCATATTGTGAAACTCGTTGAAATGGTAAATCATCGCTAACAAACTGATCAGTTAAAGGCCATAAAAGTGAACCAGTATAGCGACCATTTTTTTGCAATGTAACCCATATAGGTTCAGGCCAATCAGTTAACCACGGAGCATGATTTAGGCTTTCCTGATCATATATACTGAAAATTTTATTTGGCCATTTCTTATCCAGTAGACTATTCCCAACAACTCCATGATTTTCAGGATACAAACCGGTAATTAATGTACGATGATTAGGTAGAGTAATTGTAGGATAAACATTGATCGATTCCATAGCTCGTACACCTTCTGATATTAGACGATCGAAATTCGGTAATGCATTAGAGCCCAGATGAGTTTTAGTCAATTCTATATAATCATGACGAAATCCATCCATACTAATTAGTAAAACAGTTTTGTCGTGATTAAAAAATCTTGATAATGGTCCTTTTATATTCCATCGATATAAATTGATTTCTTGTGGTATCAAAATCACGAGAATAAGGGCACCGAATAGCATCATTACAATGCCTGATATAATTAATGTGAAGTAAGCACAATGAGTTCTACGTTTGTAACGACGAATACATTCGTGATTTATTTGATAGTATGGAGGAGGTAAGTCACTGTCATTTTGTATTATTTGTTCCGTTGACATATTTACTGTAATGAGACGAAATAAAAGAGGAAAATTACAATTTTAATGTCTTTCATATTAAACAAATAAAATATTAAAAAGGAAACGATCCATAACCTGGATCAACCTGTAAGGAAGTCTAACAGCTGGTATTTCTATTTAACTAGAGAGAGGTTATAAATGGATTAGTAAATATTCAGTTAATTATGTTAATGGAAAGTAGTTTTTTATTCTACTTGTGAATATTGGAGACGAGCGAACAAAGGCTTTTCCAATTACAGAATACCTTGATTGCACTAAGTACAAACGATTATTTTTAAATATATCATATAATTGGTAGCTTCTTGATGCTTATATCGATAGAAGCCCCAGCTATCAAAGATCCGTGAGAATGGAAGCAAACCAAGTTTAACAAGGCTTTCAGAACATACAATAAAGATATTAAGTAATGATGGAACTGAGAAATGTAGACTGCCATCGTGTTAAACAATCACACAGAAGTCATAATAAAATAACCCGCAAGGAATACGTGATAATAACATCGCTACTATTTCCTAGATGTTCAAGAACCGCCATATATATTTCAAACTAACAGTAGTAACATAACTCGGCATTACAAGTACCTCAAATGTACATGAAAAAACTATTTGTTACAGAAACATGTACCGGAAAATAGAGTACGTTACTTCTCATTACTATTAGGTTAATTATAGTAACCACTGTCTTGAAACACATAAAGATTATTGATAATAATATATCTATAATCAAATGTGTGTTCTTATTCTTGTGAAGGATATACAGAGGCAAAATCTCAAAACACTTAACAAAGTTGAAGAGAAAAATAAAACAAAAACTTAAAATAGATTAAAATAACATAACTTGTCACTAACAACTATAGATTAACAAATATGATCATTTCGACAAGTGACAATAGTATAGATGTTAGAAAAGTCTGTAATACAATAACTTCCTTGAAACAGTGTAGTACCTAAGATAAACTACAAACTAGCTTATTCTCTTAATTCCCAGAGGACAGGTATTATAATAAATGTTATTCGCCAGAGAATAATACTATTAGATTCCCTGTCCTTGGTAGTAACAGATATCTGATGTATGGGTCACAAATTAACTCAACTTCTGCTTCAATGTGTGTCTTGTAACAGTATTTATTATACAACAGGCACTAGTACAAATGAGTTTCAGGTCCTCAGACTCAACTTACTAACATTTGAATTAAAATTGGAAAGATAATATATGGTACTAAAACGAGATATGGTAATCCTGCGCCAATTTATCTAGAAAAATGTGGTTTGGGTTAGCTCATGGTACTTTATTGTGCTATGCAAGTAGACAGAAGAGTGATAAAACCATAATAATAAATTTCAGATGAGGGAGATGAGTTTTACTGACAACTGGACCCAGGCAAGACTAGATAATGAGAAGAAACTAGCCAATGAATTTGTAAACTATCAACAATTAAGGATGGGATACATGCTATGGGTACAACGCTACTAACCTGTAAATTGTACTATTCTGTTTATCAAGTACCGTAGTAAGCTTCCAAAACAGTCTATTTATCCACTAGCGGTACAAGTTTTGCTGCTAGATCTATGGCCTCCCATCACAGTTTAGAAGAAAACTCTGATAAATAATTAAAGACTTCAAGTCATGCAGTTCGAGATCGAAGACAGTGACGAAAGTGAATTCAGTTTATTTCTTGACAGTAATACTGTTCCTCAGTTATTTTATTTTTACTGTGTACATTCTCGTATCTTTGTTTTTAATTATTCTGCTTAAATCAGTGGTATCATGAATTGATTAAAATTTGAAGTTCTAACTGAAAAAATGAGTTATAATTGTTATAAAACTTACCTATTGGTTCACCTCCAAAATGGTAAATTGTGAATGATTGTACCTTAACTGAGTCACAGGATGAAATGAAGCAGTTGCACATATTTTACTGACCTCTAGTCGATGTCTTTATTCACACAACTGATTGAGGTGAATATAATTTTCGATGGTTCTTTACAATATATCATGAATTTCTAGATTTTACAAATATACCTTAACTTATTCTTTTCATAATTACGATACATGAGACAGATACATATTTAACAACTCCTTTAGAATTACACTGTACTATAATCAGCACATAGTTTCTCATTCTTTAGTTAAAAGAAAACGCAACAACCAAACGTATGATACGTATACACAATAGTGAGACACCATAGTACGCAATGATGAATGAATTAATTGATAAATACAATAGTAGTAGTATTTCATTTAGATTCAGTAAATGTACTCTTACAACAAAGGTATGTGTATTTCTGTACAAAGACTATTCATCTTAATTATTCACTGGGGTAATATAAATTCATCTTCGACTAAGAGTACTGTTTTACTGATAATGTTTGGAATAATACTGGGGGTGGGCAGGAGGAGGCAACAGACAAATTACGTACCATTTCTTGATTGTTTTGAACGTATTCAATATAAGCAATATTAAAGCTAGTGCAACATTCTTTTTTAAAAAAAGAAATGGTCAGTGCGGCAAGTGAACGAATACATATCAATGAAAACATTCTCAACAATAACATGATACATGCAAACACAAACAGAATGATGAATAATTAACCACATTAGTAGTGCAAAGAGATTTGTCGTTAATGTCAACTAAAGGTTTCAGTGATATAGATTCTCAATTAGTATTAAAAACAAATAATCAATTAAATATATTTTATTTGAGGCATGTGACAGAATATATGAGTAAAGAGAAAAAACAGATCAATACAGTTTCAGGTAATCCCGTTCATGTAAGCTCAAGGTATTTTCACTGACTATAGCCATGTAATTTAGACACTGGTGATGGAGCACGTCGGAAGAATAAAGATGATCCTCTAACAAAAGCATCCTATAAAGCAAAAATGTTAATTTATTAAAGTCTTTATTTATGCATACACTAAAATAAGTATTTTTCAGAAAATACGGTTGAAGTATAGTCCGGAGGAGCACGTACAAATTTATATAATTTATCATTCCTCAAAAAAGCAATTTAAAGATGTTAAGCAAATCATTTAATGTCTTATTTGATCAAGTAAATAAATACAGCCTAGCAATATATTCTAGAAAATATTATTTATCAAAAGTAACTAAAATGTATGTGACTATGATCTACTTTAATATTAATACTATTAAACAGGAAAACTTCCTTGTATTCATAAACAACACTCCCACCACAAGGAGGCAGTGAGTAAGACTTCCTTGACAGTGGCTGTATATGCGTGGTCATGTGAGAGCATTTGGAGAGCGGACTCTCCCCACCCTCGACCGTACGAGGGTATTTGGGGGCAGGTAACCAGATAGTATCACTAGCCCTTACAACTAGAGTGTAACTTATACCCAAGTACGTGGTGAATGAGTTCATTAAAATCAATAGGCTAGTGAGTTAATAATACACCTGAATCTATGTCTAACATGGTTTAACGGAGATGTTAAACAATAATGATATAAGATCGAATGGAGTTATTTACTACAATATATCACACCCATTATGAGATTGATATTATTGTAATTACTGAAGCATTACAAAGTATAGTAACTCGTAACAGGCTTAAAACGATACATTTAACTGTGTTAAGCAAAAGCTGAAGAAGGATACTCTCAGTGAATGAAGTGACTGGCAACACTGTTATCAATGATGATCATATCAAAAATAGAAAGATTAACTATAAACGGTTTTGTGAGGTTGGTCAGATGAGAATGTAAAGTTCTATATGTACGTAGTTTTGTTGAAGACGATTAAATTGCTAAAAATAATCTAACATTCACGCTTTTTGTTTTTATTTTGTAAATTTAAATTTGTGCTTTTTCCCTCCTAAATTTTATACGTAAAGTACTAGCTATTTACACTGTGGCTAAATCCTTATTTTCTCTACTGGTTGATCTAGTAACATGCTAGTTTATTGTTGTACTTTAGGAGCATTTTAAAAGTAATTACATATAATTGCTATTCGCTTGCATCAACCTTCGAACCTTTTGAGTAAGATATGTTGTTTGCATTAGAGGTGGCTAGGAAGATCATAAAGAGTTGTTGGGCTGTAACCAATCTTGATAGATTGTGAAGAGATATATTTTCCCGCATTAGTTTCTTCGCGTTGTAATACGATCATTCAAGCCAATAGTACATAAATGACTCTTAATGAAAACTCCATCGATTAGTAATGCCTCCGCTTTGGCGTTTGATCTGACACCAGACACCTACTACACAGGGTCCCTGAAATAAGTGCAGGTGCAGTAGATTTTCAAAATTGGGATGAAAAGCGAATTGTAGTACTTTTTTAGAGTTTTAGATACAGGTGTCAGATATACAACATACGCCAACATTGTCTTTCCAAAGACATGGCTAAATCTGTTTATTGTCCGATTCGCATGACGGTAAGAACGCAGAATTTTAAATGACACAAAGGGTTTTAGAAAACTGTTATTAGAACTAGTAAATTAATGGTGACATGATTGCAGACCATTTAAACAGGATAGAATTCTAGGCAACAACAAATAAATTTAGTGCAGAAAGACGTATACACAAAATGGAATGGAAAGTTTAGTCAGTATAAAACAAATTTCCCAATAGCAAAGTAATCGTAAATATTGCTCAGAAGAATAGTAAAGCAGAACAAATGGAACATTTTATCCATCAATAGCTACCTTCGTATTTGTGTGTCGGCTAGGATACTGTCTAAAATCCCAAATCGAATCAGAGGTTTGATTAAATGGGCTACCCCAAGCGTTTGAGCGAAAGGTCCAATCAATAACAAAGTAACATCACGACATGCAGTCCTATGGTAGTCGATTCTGAATCTAATGCACACCATTGATTTATAATCACGGTTTCAAAAACCCTCTAAACCGACTCTTCTTATTCACCAACCAAGTTTAGGTGCTGGGCATCTGCTCTAGTCTCGTCACCTCGAAAAAGGAACACAGAAACACACCAAACAAATGTCAATTGGACCACCTATACCGCAGCTACGATGAAAAGACTGGTTGGTGAAATTTCGTAGACAATAAATTAACACTAATGCTATTTTCCAGAGTGACAACCAAAACTTCGCTTAGAGAATGCCACACCATTAGAGATCAAATATGTATGGCTAGACTGAGATTTGTTTAACTGCTGTTTTGAACAAATGACGTAAGGTTGAGGTATATTAGTTAAAAAAACGTTGTACGACATAAATAGAGAGAAACAAGAAACTTACAGATTGGCTGAGATAGGAATAACATTGCCACCAATTGTTGAATACAGGTACGACGTTAATACTGTTAAACAAACAAGAAGTAAAATACATCAATATCACTTAACATAATAAAAAAACTTACATGATGGAGGGATAATATTCAGAGACTGTTACCACACTTTGTTTAAAATTGCTATTATGAATACAGAAAATGTAGCAATCTTAAGAAACTCATCACATCATTTGTGAAAAATAAAGGCTGTTCTGCAAATAAAACTTTATTTTCGACGATATCATTTAGTGAAGCTATTCAAACATTTACAAGTTAGTAAAATGGAAGAGTGTTAGATCAACTAACAAAAGTATAAAAAGTGTGACTTAAAACTCGTTTTACGAGTGTATATCCTGAAATCACATCTGTACTTTGTACTTGTGGTAATGAGATAATACTTATCAAAATACAATCTGAGTAAGAACAGTTTTAATGCGTTTTGAGAATATAACAAATTAACACATATGAATGCATGCAAATGAAGAGATAAACGTTCTATAACAAAATATAAATCTGCTATTTTGTGTCTAAAATTTATGTTGGCCTATAATGTCCTCAACAATAAGTTTCCTTTGTTACACTATCAATAAGAAAAGATTTAAATAATAATGGAGTAAGAAGTATCTAACCTTTGGTTAATAAATAATTGATCTTTGATCAAAATAATATTAATTGAACAATCGCAACTTTTGACAGTGAGGCAAGATAATTTCATTTTATCATGAAGCCATTAACGTTTCATGAACTTTTCTAAAATAATCACTATCTCCAACGGTATATCGTCATCATGTTAATTGAGTAAAGAAAAGTGAGTTACGAAACTAATACGTTATTGTAAAATAACAATATTTTTTGTAAAAAAATTATTCAACCCGACGAGACAATGAGAATAATTATAAAAGCCAAATTTGTTGATAGACTGAAATTTCAGGGCTACTAAGCTTAGTTGTGCAATTCCTTCTATCTTTTTTTAGTAATTACTCCCTCTGGTACATTACCAAACTCTAAAATATATTAAAATAACTGACAAAAAATGGACAAACGATGATTATCCTGAGTAGAATATAAAACTAAATATCTATTTCTGATGTTATTCTCTAGATATCTTCCATACCTATCATCTACAATTCCTACTAGAGTATCCATTATCCTTTAGATCATCAAGTAGTCCTCTTTCAATATCTGAAATTCCTGAACACTTTATAACACAAAATAATTCCGTTTTTAGTAAGCCATGATAGTTAGCATATTACGTGGTTATACTTCTTTTTCTACCTTAATATGCTAAAAGTATGTTATCCCAAAGTAAATGGGAATAAATAAGTCTATGATACACACAAATGACTAAACTATTGAGTATCTTAGAATCTATAGGTTGAAGCATTTGTTTAAGAGGTGAGATAAAATAATAAAACAATAATTAGAAATTTACATAGCTGCAGTTCTACTCATACAGTATAAAGCATAAAGTTTAACTTTAAATCGTAGCGAGATTGTTTCTAAAATTAATAATATATTAATAAAAATGAAACAAATTTGTGTTTTCATATCAAAATGACTTTATTATCAGAAGTGAAGTGTGGAAGTCAATTTCTGTAAACGATGACTTTGTTATTATTTATCGCATTTTCTATAATGTTCAACTAGAAATTGAAAAACCAAGTAGTTATTTGTGACTACTTTTATAAAACTATTATTAGACGATAGAAATATTAGTAATCGAAAAACAGGCTCTTACTACTAGTAAAGTTTAAACGCTTGAACCAGGATAGTATTGATAAAAACAATCTCATACTGTTTGGGTTTTAATGACTGACAGATTAATATAGAAAGTTATAAACTAAAAATATCACAAACTACATAGATAGTATCCATGATCACTCACCCATAAGGATACATAAGATTACGGTAATCAAAGAATATTAGAGTAAGCACTGTGGATACAGCTAACTGTTTGGTAGTTGATAGAGTACCACAATGAAGCATTTAAGAATAAGAAAAATGCTCTGAAACTAACCAGCGGATTATGCAACCAAAAAACTTGTGGAAATAATTGAGTCAGGGAGACATCCAATAACACAGAAAGAACTTAAATGTTGTAGAAATAGTAAATAAAACTATATGGTAAAAAGATACGTATTCATAGATGAAAATTGGATAAAGGAACAGCGTTATATATATGTATATATCAGTAGAGATTGGTGGGTAGGTCAAAATATCAATCATAACTAAAAATCACAACAGTTTCATAAATAAAAACACACTACAAACACGCATATATATACTACAGATTATGTTCTAAAATATGACGTACGTCGAGTCACAAGCAGCCATAACTGTGGAGGTGACTGTGAGTCCATGAGTGGCGCCACTTACTATCATCTGAAAGCAAAAGTTAAAAACACACATGAAAAGCAACCGGAAAAGATTTGCGTGACTATAAATGTCAGCTTATTGAAAGTTTTGTATAAAATCAGGTAAATTCTACACAATACGCAAGTTCCTCGTCTTTTAATCAAGTAAAAACATTGTTTACTCATTAAAACTATACTCATTTTTCATGTTGAGTAATTTGGCCTATGTGATTTTGTATTCTCTAACGTTACACTCACGAAACTGATCTTCAAAGATTTAGATGTAGTAGAAAATTAGTACTGAACTAACCTTATTTTTGTTATGAATCAATTGGTTTAGACATGACTCAACGATTACCAGCCGACGGAAAAATTCATTTTGTCAGCTTTGGTTTGTAGTTAGCCAGCTAGTATGTGAAGTTACAATTTGACATACAAACGCAAATTATTTTTAAGAACGGTAATTATATTTATACCCACTATATTATATTAAAAATAACGCTACGCTTACACACAAACAAAAAGTCAGCCAAACACAAAGTAGAACCCAGTACATGAGCACATTGGTTCAGGTTGTCATACCCCATTACCACTGAAAGATGAAGTTGTCAGGGCGAATCCCAGATTATTGAATGTAGTAACAGTTATAACAGTAATAGAAAAGATCAAGCATCCGATGAGAGAGTATAAGTCAGCGAAATAATTTTAAAAAATCTGTCGTGAATTTTTTTTAATGAATACTGAGGGAGGAACTTTAAAAAAGTTATTTTTTAATTTGTGGAAATAATAAGTGCAACTTCTTACATGCCGAATTGTAAGATAAATTAGAAATCAAATCACTTGACAGTGCTTTAGACAATAAATCAGAAAACCAAATCTCGACAAACAGAAAAAGATTCGAATTTATGATATAGTAGTTAAAACTGAATGTCCAAACAATGTCTATAATTTTACTGTATTATCGACTAACTGATGAGGAAAGAAATAACTCATTCAATAGGTATTAGGGTATAAGGGATTACGTATGAAAAGTGATTACACTGCCTGGCTACCTAAACAGAAGTTCGAACCTTGGACTTCGTTGTTAGGATCAATCATATGCAAAATAGAATCTAACGTATTTGCCTTTGTTCAGGTTGGTACACCACATCAAGACAGCAAGATGTCAGAGTAATATAGATAGTGACAGTATTAGTGGTGGTAGAAAAGATTAAAAATATATTATATGATTTGGGATAATATGGATTCGTGGAATAAACTTCTTCCAAAGACTATTTGGGGACTTCGTCTAAGGGAAGAGACAAAGAACGAATTCACCACGAACGATTACGAGACGTTAATGGGAGTTGTTAACCATTGGTTAACATCGTGCGAACCCCAACCGCGTAGTCTAAACCTAGTTACAGGACTCAAACCAACAGTCAATAGCTTTGTGGGTTGATGCAATGTCTTTGTTTTCCCATCTCTAGCTTCCTTCCAGCCTACTTCTACACCAGACATTATTACACATCAACGTAGGCGGTGATTGTGCATACTTGATACGAGTCCCAACAACCTCGGTCGATGAAATACTAATTTCTCGTTAACCGGCTAGCCATTTTACCTAGTACTCTACGTCAAACCATAGCATCGTCAACTCGATGGTACCAACATATGTTATCAATGCATTTATATGTGATTTCTCTTTATTTGGTCAACAAAGTTCACATGTATGACTAATTTTCACAGTGCTTTGTTGTAAAAAAAGGTTGGCACAAAGTACACAAAAAACAGTCATCACGGTTAGTAAGAATATTCAATTATGATAAAAAGTTAATTCTTGAACTACTGAACAAAATAATGTGTACTCACCTCAGTTACCAAGGGAGTGTGCTTTTTCAGAGGAGGGTCGATACGGTCCATGAAAATATATTTATTGAAAAAATAGGCAAGACAAGCAGTCAACCAAACTGTAATAACTTCTCCAATTAATCTAGGTGTCAAACCACTAGAAAGGAATATCATTTAGATAAAACACACCTGAAGAAACTTAAAAAACCTTCATTTCTCAGTATAGTAGGAAAAGCATTGAAAATACAACTGGAGGGAGACAAACATAAACTAAATTTATTTGTGATTCATACTCATATAATCGTGTCCCATTGATAAATTGCGACATTTGGCGAACCATTATGACTATTTTTTATGGTGAAAATACATCTAATATTTAATACCTTGGAATGGATAACTAACAATTACACCCACTACTCGAGCAACAGTACATTTACTGGTCTAAAAGGGTAAGTTAGTTAAGAATGATATCAATCAAAATTACACTGATCAAAAAAATTCTGATTCCTTTATCAGTTTCAAAAAATGTTTTCTTTTCAAAAAAGTCCGGAGTTAAATACTTTTGCAAATAATAATTGTATATTAAGCATTTTGTACCTCCATAGTGATGTTGGTAGAGTACGACTTAACAAATGACCCAATAATATTAGCAGGAAGTCCAATGGTGAAGATTCCATACAACCCAACTTCTTGGCGAAGTTTACGACCTTTAACTACAATGAGATAATTGTTGGAGAAACTTGCAGTAAGTGAAAACACTTGGGTAGTAATATACTTCATAGTTCGGACGTAGAATGTTACGTAAAGTAAATCGACGAACAGGAGGAAATGGTTCATACCCCAACTTAAAAGTTACATTTGAAAGAATATGACTTACCAACATCATTGTCCTGGCATAAGTCAGGGGATGAGTTATGGCTGGCATGAACGACGGTATCAGAAATTTATAGGTGGTTTCCAAATGATCCATAGTAATTAAGCTATTGAAGGAAAATGCATTAGTAGATGCAATGAAATGAACCAAGAATACAATACAAAAGTTGATCTTAGTGACTAAACCTTGCAGATAATATTACTGTTAGATTTCAAATGAAATGTCACGAGGTAATTTTTAATTATTTCTAGTGACGATATAATAATGACTGTAATTACACAAAATGGTATACATACACTGTGGGTCCACTCGTTTACTTATGAATGTCTTATTGTTACGTTTTTAGTGATACAAAATTCCCAAATTTATAGCCGCCTTTTTACGCGATTTACATGACACGGACCCTTTGAATTGGATGAAAAGTCTTTGCAGTTTAAAGGCCTGGACAACCGGTGTATATAATGTGTCCATCCAAAATGATCAATAAACAGAGCAACTCGGTTAGACTCAAACTTCCAGGAACTATAGTTATTTTTGGGTTAAAACGACTGTGTTCAAAAGGAATCAGTAGGTAATCTACAACTATCATGATAACTAAGGGTGGATAATATTAAGGACTGAAAAATTCATGTAAGGCGGAATAACTAGTTAGGGAGTATTGGACAAGATGTGTTGTTAAAATAAAGTTCGACTCAATTTCCAAGATAATCTGTAAAAATGAAACGAGTTCTAGTCCCGTTTAGTTTGGCTGTATGTCTAATTTATAGGTCCTGATTATTTGAGAGGACCAAACTTCCGACGAACCATATTACAATCATAATTATCCCAGTGAATTTGATTTTTAGAAGCTAAGTTCAAGAACCAGCCATAATGACTTCAGTTCGTATTTCGTGGCTGACATTCATGTTGGAAACCAAGAGTTCTGGGTTAAATACACAGTAAACAATTCAGATTTCAGATTTGTGTAGTAAGGAGAGAAGGCCTACGGCCTATGTTATTCCTTTTCTAGTATGCTTCTGTGAGTGTCCAGTCTTCTCTTGAAAGAGTCAATTGAAGGTGCGGACACCACTGCTTCAGGCAGCAGGTTCCAAGTATTGATGACTCGGTGTGAAAACCTGTATGCCACGGGTATTTTGTTCGTTCTTGGCTTTTCTACTCGCCTGCTATGTCCTCTGAGGTGTCCCGATCTAGTGGGAAGAAAGAGAGAGAATAAGTTAGGTCCGAAATCATTTCTCAGTATTCTGTACATCAATATTAGATCTCCCCTTAGTCTGCGATAGGACAGAGTAAAGAGGTTCAGTTTTTCAAGCCGCTCTTTATATGATAAACCCGGAGTTCCGGAATTGCACGCGTAGCTGCCCTCTGTACCTTTTCTATTATGTCCGAGTCACCTTTAAACAGGGGCTTGCAGCCTGAACACAGTTCTCTAACTTAGTTCTCACTAAGGATGTGTATAATGTGGTGAACATGGTAGTATCAAGCTTAGTGAATGTCCTTTTTAAAGCCCAGAGGGTTCGAAACCCCTTAACTGCGACCTCCCGGCAATGGGCCGTCGTCTTAAGATCATTGCTCACTGTCACCCCTAGGTCCTTATGAGACCGGACTACGGGTAATGACACATCCCCTATGTTGTACGTATTAACCTTTGAATCCCCCAAGTGCATGTAGACACACTTTTCCGAGTTGATAGGCATTAGCCACTCTTTAGACCAGTTTATCATATTATTTAAGTCCGCCTGAAGAGTAAATGCGTCTTTGTCTCCAGTTATTACTCGCCAAATTTTTACATCGTCAGCGTATAATAACATTGGAGACTGTACTATACTTGTAAGATCATTAACGTACATTATAAAAAGTAAAGGACCTAAGACGGAACCTTGGGGTACTCCACTAAGTACTGGTCTCCAGATGGAGCACTTGGAATTTATTCTTACTTTTTGCCTACGACCTACTAGGAAATCCTTAATCCATTTTAAAAGAGGTCCGGCAATACCAAGGTTTGTCAACTTCAATAGCAGCCTATTAGTTGGCACCTTGTCAAAAGCCTTACTGAAGTCTATGTAGACAACATCCACTGAGTTTCCGTTGTCTAGCGCATTAATCCAGAGCTCCCTAGCTATAAGGAGGTTCGTTGTACAGGATAGACCCTTTCTAAAACCATGTTGTGCCATGTTCAGCAAGTTATTGGTTTCCATAAATGCTGTTATGGTCCGTTTGATTATTCTTTCCAGTATTTTAATTACAACACTGGTGAGGCTTACGGGTCTGTAATTTGATGGAACTTGTCTTGGTCCTGTTTTATG